CTTTGAACTTTTATTACCCTTAACATATATCTTTGATTATTCGTTGTGCAACTGGATTTTCTTTTTTCAGAAGTTTTTCCTCATACAAGTTTGATATTCCTCGTTTCAACTGGTTAATCATTTGCATGCATTTGCTGTTGCTACTGCTGACAATGACAGAGCAGATTTTATTGGTGCTGTTAGCATCAACAATGCTTATGACCGTTTACATGTCCTATTAAAAAGTGATATTTTTTTATAGTACAGTTATTGCTGAACAGAAAACTCAAAAAACTAATGAAATATTCACTAAAATTTAAGTAGTTTTTTTGGGGGGTGGAAATGAGCTGCTGCGGAAATTGTACACAGTATGCAATGTTTTTGATGTAGATAAATCTAAAAAAAAAAAGTAACATCTACTAAACCATTTATCATTGCAGATGTTACAATTATTGATATTAATGCTATTATTATTAGCAACAATAGCTTTACTAATACAGTTATTTTTATGTTGTAATAATAGCAGGAAACTTTGCTGATATTGTTTCATTCCCAAAAAATTTCAACGCAACAGCACATCGATTTTTTCCCTCCTTCTCTTCTTCTTTTCAATTTTCTTTTTTGCTTTCTTTTTTTTTTTCTGTATCACGACGAAGCACAACTATATGGCAGTCGAATATTTATAATGATAACTTATTCGAAAATATATAACAAGCAGCTACTGTTATGACATAGTGTTATCATCATTATCTGTACTATTCATATTGATTGGTATTCATCGATGATTTACGAATAAATCCAATCATTTGCCAGAAGATATGAATTCGTCATTTTTGACGCCGCTGATCAGTTACAGTCCAAATGAAACATTGTCGTCCACCTCAGCGTCATCATCGTCATCATCAGTTTCATCATCATCGTCGGAAATTGACCAGATTGAAGATGAATTTTGGCCTCTACATGTTCGTGTTCTGCTGACAATTTTATTCTCTTCGCTGGCACTGATTGGTGTTATCGGCAATATTTTAGTGATTACTGTGGTGTTGAAAGTACGCGGAATGGTAAATATTTTAATGATCTTTGGTTATTTGTTTGCTTTATGTAAACTTTTTCTTTCAAACTGTTCCAATTTTATTTTCTTCTATTATCGTTGCTATCTTTTGTTGTTGTTGTCGTTGAATACTCTTATTGCGGTAAAAGAAAAATTAAACACACAAAAAAAAACTGAAAAGAGCTTTTGAAAAGACTGTACAAATATTAAGAATGAAAATTTGTGAATAAAACAAAATAAAAAAAACTGAAAGAGGACTATAATTAAGTTGTCTTAACAAATTCAGCTGCGCCAAAATTTAATTCTTATGGATTCTAAAAATAACTACCAAAACAAAAAGAAATTGAAAAATGCAAAAATTTAGTGCATAAAAAAGCCTAAATATAAACCAGTTATAAAACTGCTTTTTAATTATTATGCTGTGATTTTTTTTTTTTGACAAATTCTCTAAATCAGTGAATGATGGACGAATAATTGTAATAAGCATTGAAACAAAACTGAGTAGTTATTGGAGTGGTTTAAGGGATAAGCGTACCACTGAATTGGTGGTCAATGTAAAACAGAGTAATTCATCAGTACTGCAAGTTAAAGCGTAAACCTTTTTAAGCAACAGTTTACATTTCCGAAGCCTAAGTGTCTGAAGTGCATCTGTAGACAACAGGACAACAAACTGTGTGACAACATCAGTACTGATCTAAGAATTTTTTAAATATACAGAGATATATTACAGTAGGCCGAAGAGGAAAAAAAAAGAACTTAAGTTTATTTTGAAATCATGAGAGCAAAAAACAACTTTAAGAGTTTTTAAGAGTCACTTTGGTTTCAATAAATTATACACTAATCGTTTAGGAAAAGATATGGTTGCAGTTGTACAAAACATTACAACCGAATACTGAAAACTGAATTTGGTTCGCTTAAAAATAGAAAATACAGCTAACTTTTCAACACTGTTTTCAATAGCTCAATTATTGTAATTTAGAAGTGCAAAAACAGTAAACTATTTATGGAGATTTAAAAAAGTGGTATCTCGTGAAAGTTTTAAAGGTTTGAACAACAATAATATAACTAATAAAGTATGAAAATGCACTATATGTATTTGCTAATTGTTTCTGTACTGTTTCTGTAATAAAAAAATATGGACAGGTATAAAAGAACAACTACCAAAATTCTGTAGGTGTTTCTTCCGCATTTATAAAATTGTAAAACCAAATTAAATCTTAAATCTTTTCACTAAATCGTCTGATAACTTATCAAAAAAGAATTGAAGTAAAAATTATCTCTTTTTTTTTTTACTTGAAGAAAGTTTGGTTTTTTTCTTATTATAATACCTGTAAATCTATGCAAATAATTTTTTTTTACTTTTATTGGCACTAATTTTCAGGTAACACCAACGAACTGTTATTTGGTATCATTAGCTGCAAGTGACTGTATCTTTTTGGCTGCCTCAACAATAACTGAACTTAAATATTTACATACTACTGAAGCTGGTTGGTAATTTCTTTCTGTCGTTTTTTTTTTTGATAGATTGACTGATACTTTCAAAAAATCTGCCTATAGATACGTCAAATATTGTTTTCTTTAAACAATAATACAAAAATATTCTCAAAACAGAAAAATTTGAACTTTATTGAAGTTTGATTAAAACTGAACAAATATCATTGTAATACTGTTCAAAGAACAGTGATCATTAACTGTACATTAGTTTAGCTGCATATTTTGATTGGCTTCACTACTTTGGGTGTATATTTTTCTCATTTACACCATATTTGGCTATAAATACCTCGTCGCTATCAATTACTGCATTTACCATTGAACGATATTTTGGAATTTGTGATCCATTACGGGCCAGGTAAACCAAATCCATCTTTTTTTTTCCTTGGTCTTTTTTTAAAAAAAAATTATGGAATAGTAAAACACGATGAAAAAACAATTGATTAGAAGAGTATAAGTTGTTTTAAGTCTATAAGACGATTACAGTTGGTTTGCAACCAAAAAAAGAAGGAAAAAAAATAGCATAATTTTTTGCCAATTGTTCATTAATTAAATTGAAAAGACTCTTCACTGCAAAAAATACTCATTTTTTTTCTGTTTAATTTAGTCTTTCCCAAGTTTTGGTTGTTGTTTTTGTTATTTTTGAACAACAAGAAGAGCAGTTTTATGTTATTATTTCATGAAAAACTTCCTGGATGAGCTATTTAAAGTGTGACACCATAGAATGAAAAACAAAAAAAAAAGAGAAAAAAAAACACATTTATTATTATTAATAGTGTCATAACGGCTAATAAAAAACAGTTACGAAACTAAAACACATTAAATGCAAATATATGGGTAAAAAGTAAGGTCTATGAAAAATGAGCTAAGATGGATAAGATAACGTTAGAGTGTACAGCTAACTGAGCGCCTTGGTTTTTGTAGTGATGAAACTATTGGACAACATACCAATGGTTTAATGCGAGAAAAAAACCATTGTCTTAAGTGGTGATTAAAGTGATCAAAACAATGCAACTACATTTGCAATCTAAAAACTTTAATTTTTGTCATCATTTCCTACTTTTTTTTTTCATTAACGTCCAAGTATTCTTTTAAGTAGCAGAACACACCTATAAAACGTAATAGAACATAGAAGAACAGTTACCGTTGCTCTCCACCACCTTTCGACAGCACAGAAAAATATGTTTGCAGAAAATTTTGCGGTCTTTTGAACTAAATTTTTTGTTGCAACAATTTTTTTTAAATTAAAAAACTAACAGATGTTTCTTTCGCATTTTTTTGTGCTTTTTTGCTTTGCTTTTTTTCGTAACTTTAGAATTTAGCCTGAGAAAATAAAATAAAATTTCTTCATGTCGTTTTGAAAAAAAGATTTTCAGTCAAAGATTTTTTTTTTTGCAAATATTTCCACCCTTCTTCCACGTCGTCATATCGCAGTTTTGTGTTCTAAAATTATGATAAAAAGCTTTGTTAACCGTAATATACTTTCGTGCCTTTTTTTTTGCTGACGCCGCTGTTTAATGCTGTAATACTTAATACTGCTTGCTGATGGTTTTAATCTAAGCAGTAAGTAACAAATTGTCAATCTTAGTCAGTAAATTCAGTTGATAAATGCCAATGCCTAAATAGCACATTTTCTTTTTGAAAGATATATAAAAAAATATAATGCAAGTTGTCATCAGGAGAAGCAAAACGAACAGACGAAAAAAAATTTGTAGATTTAAGAATTGCGTTCGATTTTCATATTTAAAAAGATCAAAGTTTAACGTTCAATAAACTGTATTTGATAATGCACAGTTTTCTTTCGTCTAATAAAAACATTTTAACATAAAACTATTTTTAAACATTTTTGCAGAAGAAAAGTTGAATCTTAATCTACAAAAAAAAAA